GAGAGAGAGAGAGGGAGAACAGGAAGTAAGAAATGAGGACAAGGAAGTTGAGGGAAAGAAGGAGGAGGACAGACAGAGGAGTAGAAATGAGAGATAAAAAGGTGGAGGAGAAGGAAAAGAAGAGAGAGTTTAGGCAGAGGAGATGACATGAAACAAGGAGAGGAGATGTGTGATGATAAAATGAGGCGGAATGAGGGAGGAGGTGAGGGGAAAGGAGATGGGAGGTGGGAGAACAAGAAGCGACTGAATGTAGAAGGTGAAACAACACAGGAAAAAGGGGGAGGAAATGAAGACAATGATGCAAGAAAAGATAACAGAAGAAGGAGTTGAGGGGTGGAAAGAAGAACGGAGAGGTGAAAGAAGAGGGGAGTTTTAAGAAGAAGGGATGAAGAGGGCAGGTGAAAGGAAGGAGTTGTAAAGTGGAAAGAGGTGAAAAAAATATTTATTGGGAGAGGAGAAGGGAGGAGAGGTTAAAAGGTGAAGGACAAGGGGGAAGGAGAAGAAGGCAGGGAACAAGGAAGGACGGAGGAGAAAGGAGGAGGTGAAAGATGAATGATTGTGGTGAGATAGAGGCGAGGAGAGTTAGGTGAGATGTAAAGAGGGTGGAATAAGGGAGAAGGTGAAAGGGAACAGGAAGGAATATGGGGAGAGGTGAAACAACTGAGGAAAAGGAAACAAAATGTGAGGAGGTGAACATAAGAGAGAGAGGAGGAAGGAGAGAGAGGTGAAAGGAGAGGAAAAGACGGTTTCACAGCTTTCATGAAATAGCTTCAGTTTAGACTTCTTTATTTTTCTTCTTCAAATAGTCTGAAATTAAATTCCAGGCAGCTTTACAACAGACTCTCTGGAAGCTTCTGGGCAGGAAGGAGGGAGGAGTGAAATGAGGAGACTCGGCAGTTAGAGATAGGGTGCGAGCTGATGGAGAGGAGAGGAGACTATAGGGTCAAGGGTGCAGATGGCAGGTAAGAAAGGAGAAGTTACTGTAAGAGGAGCGAAAGTGTCCAGAAGAGGTTAACGGGAGGAGGGGTGGAGAAGAGGAGTTTAAGGAGGAAGGGACTGAGGAATTAAGGATTCAGATAAAAACTCCCTGGCAGAGAGACAGAAAAATAAACAAAATACCAACTCCAGTCCTCTGGGATTTATTAGCTTAAAACTCTTAAATATGCTCTCATAATGTGAAGGTCAGAGGTCACTCCAGGAATTCTGTGTGTGTGTGTGTGTGTGTGTGTGCGTGCGTGTGCGCGTGTGCGTGTGCATGTGTGCGTATGATTACACAGATCTTTTTGGTGTCTACAGGAACATGAAACACTGCTGGTTACTGAGCACTGACCTTTAAACATCAGCTGATAAGATTAAACATGTTAAGAGTTACTTTGAGGAAAAGGTTAATGACAGTTCTAATGCAGAACATACTGAAACATACTGTTTACTACATATAACTTGTACTTTATGTTTCTGTTGTCATTCCATCCATCAGTTTTTAGATAGTTTTCTTTCCTTCCAGGCAGGCTAAAGTCCAGCGTTAGTGTCCCCTAGAGGCAGCAGTGTTCATTACAGCCACAATATGAAAGAGTTGGACAGTCTGTCAATCTGAAAAGTGACCATATTACCATAGTTAAAGGAACATCTCTTGCACTAACAGCCAATGTTGTAGTGGTGCCTAAATAAGTGGGTATGCTCTTGAGTTATGCCCCATATATTTTTATTTAAAGAGGCCCATCCAGCATAGGATAAACATTCTAATCAAAAATGGACCAGTAGTATTTGCACATTGTCACGTCACATTGTCAAGAGGTGCAGGTTTTACAGTCAATACTGGCCCACAGACGGGTGAGACCGCTACATAAAACGATCCATTTTCAGTCTATTCCCTACTCATCCTAGGAAAAAAAAGCTTGCAAAACACTACTGGACGATGCAGAATAGAGTTAGAAGTGGGTATGGAGAAAAATGAGTGGGTATACTCATAACTGAATGATATAATTATTTCCCTCTCTTTAATTCTGTCTTTATCTGTCTGTCTGTCTCTAAGACCTGCAGGCATCCAGGCATCAGGGGGTCTCGTTTCTCCTCAACACTCCCAGAAAAGTCTGAACACCGTCCAGTCTGCAGGACCTTCACAAGGTGAGTGAACTAAAACAAAGAGGATGTTCATGAGACCAAACAGTTATCTAACCTGTGCCCCCCCGTCAGCCAGAAAGAAAGCATGTGCAGACTGCTGAAAGGTCCAGTGTGTAACATTTAAAATGGAACATCTATTGGCATAAATGGAATATAATATTCATAAGTATGTTTTCATTAGTGTATAGAGTCCTTAGAATGAGCCCCGACGCCCCCAGGTTGCCTTCCATGGAGTCCGCCATGTTGAACCGCTATGTTTCTACAGCACTAACCCTAGATTGTTTGATAGATAGATAGTGTTTGCATTTTCTGTGCATTTTGCAGCCACCATAGTTTCTCCTTCGCTTTTGGAACGGGAGGGTGAAGTGAGGGTGTTGCAGTCTGATGCCATTTAGACACTTACACACTGGATGTAGTCTTTATCTATCACCTCTTTACACCTTTGCTTTACAGGGTAAAAACACAACAAAACCATACGGTATATACAATAAGCAATCAACACTGTAAAACATAGCAATAAGTAAGAATCATGAATAAAAGGTTTTAAAAAAAGATCACAGGAAGGCAAGAAAGTGTATTTTAAGAAGAGACTTAAATGAAGTGATTATCCATCCTGATCTCCTCTTGAAGGCTGTTCCACAGCTTGCAGGCTCTGATGGCAAACACTGATGGAAGTAATAAAACTTCAGTGCACAAATGTCCCCTTTGAATTCCCTCTGACTCTTCCTTCTGTTCTGATCCTAGACCCGGGCTCCTCCCACACCCCCGTCGCTCGTAGGGAGCGGCAGAGGAACAGCGAGCGGCAGCGAGCCAACAGCACCTCCACCTTGGCGGCCTCTGTTGGCCTGCCCTGCCCCTTCTCCCCATCTGGCCCTCAGGACGGAGGCACCACTGAGTGGCATGCTAGCGAGACGCTGAGCCAAGCTAACTTGGACGCCATCACCTTCCCAGGGATCCCGCAAACCGGCACAGGTGACGACGTCAACGCCACCGGCTGCAGTGAAACCCTGGTGACAGACAGACAGACGAGACACAGCATAAGTGACGGCAGCATATTAGAAGACACTGCAAAGGACATGTATAGAGGGAGAGCCTTCAGTTTAGAGATGAAAGGAGAACACTCGGCAGAAAACGCCCAAAGAGTTTCACCAGTGACGCCAACACCCCTACCCCATTTCCAGCCTGCAGCCCCACCAAACAGGAAAGACAGCGGGAGCACCGTGTCATCTCCTACCTCATCCTCCCATCCGTCCATCCACCAGCACCTGTCCTCACTGCGGATCTCTGAGTCCAGCCTCTTCAGCTCCATCGACCAGCAGCAACCACTAGAAACAGGCGTATCGCAGGAGGACTTCGATGAGGTCTTCCTCCAAGATCCTCCCCCTCCATCGCCTCCTCCGCCAATCAAAGAGACAAGCATCATGGAGGACTTCCCTCCCCCTCCTCCTCCCCTGTATTTAGAGCCGGAAGCTGGACACCAGACTGTGGGAAGGTTTGTTATACAATATGTTTCAGTATGTAATTGAGGTATTATCATTGTGGACTTTTAACAACTCCATCATTCCCTCCAGGATGTCATCCATCAACTCCCCTACAATGTCCCCGTCCTCCGTCTTTTCTCCGCCTGTGTCCAGCATTCCTTTCACAAAGCCACAGCCCTCTACCATCACCACCATCTCTGCATCCACCACAACCGAGGACAGTCTAGGTCTTGAGTACCAGCCCCTGCCCAAGAGGGAAAAGACATCTGAGGAGCTGCGAGTGGAGGCGCTGGCCAGGCAGCTGGTGGGTACCTGGAGTCGGCAGGTCCCTTTAATAAGTTCTGACTCTACTACGATCAGTATCTCTTTGTAATTCTGTGTGTGCCTTCATTATTGTACCTAGTTCCATCTCTTATCTTTGTCATATTGTGTAGTCCAGACTATAGTTCAGCCATAATGGTCATTCCTGGTTCTGACTTTAAGGTTGTCATTCTACTGAGTTCTGACTAGTCCTTACTCTGTGTTTGCCATCGTCCTTTGTTGTAGTACTGAGTTCTGACTGTCTTTCTCCTGGTACCCAGTTCTAACTTAAATGTACTCTACCATAAGTTGCTTTTCCACTGCATGGTACGGCTTGACTCCACTCTGCTCCCTCTTTTTTGGGTTTTCCATTATGGACAGTGCCTGGCACTTGGTACCACCTAGCTCAAGGTTCCACACAAGCTGAGCTGATACTTAAAGGTGACTTGAAAACTCTGCAGACCACTGATTGGGACTTCCTGCACAAACCAGGCTACCATCAATAGTGATCACAATGTTTTTATTCACTCAAAAATGTAGAGTGTTTTTATTAGAACTTTTAAAGACAGCAGTCATCTTTATAATCGTTCAAGCTAAATAAGCTAAGGTAAATGGACAGTGTAAAGCTGAAGTAGAACTCCTGTGTGTTGCCTAACAACTGCTCCACCTACTCTGAGGGTGTACTATCCAAAGTACTATCTACAGTGGAAAACCAAGTACTGGGACCAAAAGTGTAGAGTCGAGTTGTACCATGGAGTGGAAATACAGCTTTAGTTGACAATAAGTCAGCGTGTACATAGTTTGATTCTCCCTTTTTCTTTGTATACAGGTGTTGCAGGACAGCTCCCTGGCGCCCCTGTTGGACACATGGAGGGGTAAATCCACAGTAGAGCTCATGGAGGAGATCTTTCCAAACAGCAGATTGGGTGGTAAATCACCATGGCAGCGCAGGGGCAGTAACCGATTGGATGACAGGTAATTCTGACATCACATGTTTTGCCTGTGAACATTCACATTTTTAGTCATATTTTGAATACTCCAACAAGCTCCCCACACGTCCTGGAACAGCTGGAAATTTAGAGACAACTTGGACATAGATTAAAATGACCAAATATCCTGGAAATAATCCATGTTGTCCTAGGTATTACCAGACATTAAGCGGCCTTTCAGTGATATTTTCGACCTCAAGTCTTTTTCCGTAGCCGTGAACGGAATTCTCAGGGAAGCCCAGTGGAAATGGTGTGGACGGTCATATCTACATGTGTACAGCCTATTAATAATCAAACTTGTTGTTGTGGTTGATAAATACATTCACAGCGATCTTTGTACAGTCTTTGAATTGTACATGCAACAAACGCTTTCACTTCTAGAGGATTAATTTTCTATAAAATAAAGTAAATTCTACTTATAATACACAGCAGTCAACTGTAGTCAATTCATCAAAGACTGCTCTACTGAGACCACCGCTGTGGTGAGAACAGCCATGAACCCCTTAGAAGCAAGCTAACGTGGCCAAGGCCTATTGGTAAATGTTATGACCGCAGGTGCTGTCCTGTATTGTCAAGAAAAGATAGTGAAAATGTCCTGGAAAGGTTCTGGAAAGGCTCTGGAAAATTATTTCTCAAAAAGAGAGGAAACCCTGACCAAGACACTGAGTTTTAGTGTCAACAAAACTTTCTTCCTTTTTTTTGTGTGAATTTATTACATTACACATTATAAATTTTTTCCCCTGCAAAATAAACATTAAGTAGGAAGTGTAATCAGCCTTTTCGATAAAATTCACTTTGTGCTCAAGGTTTAACCGTTAACACTGAAATGCATTCATCACAGACGGATGTAGTTTAAAACTGCATTTCCTTTAAAGTGCTTTATGTAACACACAAGGATACCTTCATGTTGAGTGTGTTTATTTAGCCATGAGACCAAAACTGCAGAAATGAACTTATGTAACTGAAGGACGAGACGAGACATTGGGGGGGACTTCCTGTAAACCAGCATTTGTCATTCTTGTTGTGTTTGCTGACAGCCTCCCTCTCCTATCTGCTGACACAGAGGAGAAACATGACAAACCTCTGCCGTCTCTGCATGCTGCGGCCTTTACTCACTGACATCTTTAATGTGTTTGGGTTTCTTGGTGAACTTGATGTGCGTGTCATCCCCACCTCTGTCTCCCGCCATTTACTGTCTCTCTGCAGCTGTCTCTATCCATTAAAAGCCATAAAAAAAAAAAAAATACATAATACATATAAAAAAAAGGAAGACGACTTCCCCATTCTTAATCCCACCTGCAAAGCTCTAACTGGTCCAGCCTGGGAAACTGTCATCGATGGTCTGTTTGAACTGCCGGAGGCCTGGAACCAGGCTAGCAAGTCAGAAAGTGTGGGCATTGCCAGCCAGGACAGGACGGACCAGACAAACCTGATCAATGTTTCTCAACACTCAGCAGAGTGTGGAGACAGAGTCCAACCACGGCGACTGCTGGATCATAGAAGAACTGTAGATTCATTAAAAGCAAAATGACTGATCTGTAAGACTCACTGCTATCAACGTTAACCATTCATTAAGGATCCATGTCTACTCGTCTGGAAGGTTGACAGATAACTTCAGCCTAAACAGCTGAACAATACTGCGGCCTAGTGGCCAGCGTTGGTACAACAGAAAGGACTTGATCAGTAAAATACAGCATCAAAGTGAACTTTTATTGTGAACCTCTTACGATGGAAGCTTTGTTTTTATTATTTCAGGTATTCCTTTTCCTATTTCCAGTTTGTCACTTCTGTTGCTTGCTATATCTTTACATCCTGTTTCTTTCCATCAACAGCAGCAATGTAACATTTTAATGAATATAACCCAAGAATGACAGAGGAAATGGCACATTTAGCAAATTTCAGTTTTTAAATAGTGTTGTTTCCTCCCTAGGATCCAAGATGCTGTCTGTGATCCTGCTCAGAGCACGGCGACGGATCGAGGGAAGGAGACCGATCTAGATGAGGATGAGAAAGACCTAAACACCAAGAAGGTAAAAAAAATGATTTCTTAATAAAGTTTACTCCAACCAAACCATCAATATGAAAACAACAGCATTGTACAGAAGGGTTTGTAGTGTTTTAGACAGCTATTTGGATAAGTCATGTTCTGCCACCGCCCTGAAACACTGAGTGTTCTTGTGTGTCTCGCCCTGTTTCCAGCTGGAGCTGTGTGAGGCGCTGAGGCGCAGCATGGCGGCACTGCGGCAGGAGAAGGAAGCACTGTGCGAGGAGCAGAGACATCACCAGGCGCTGGGGGCGAGCATCGAAGCGCTGGTGCAGGAACGCCTCAAAACCAACGAGAGGGACAAGTACAGCGTGTTCATCGGTATGACACGTGACTGTCACTGTAAAACAAACATAACTATTATTGTAGAGATATTCAGAGACTACAGCTCCCATCAGGCCTTGGTGAGAAGAAACTCAAAAATTGAGAAAAACTCGATTGGTTGTGTTTGCAGGAGATCTGGAGAAGATCGTGAACCTGCTGCTGTCTCTGTGCAGCCGGATGTCGAGGATCGACAGATCTCTGCTCGCTCTGGAGAGAGAGGAGCTGACGCAGGAGGAGATAGCGGAGGAGAGGGTGAGACAGGACTCACTGTCAATCCAACTTTATTTGTACAGCACCTTTCATACCAATGCAGTGTAGTTCAAAGTGTTTCAGTTGACTGACAAGATAAGAATAGGACATAATGAAAAATTAAATTTGTGGATTTAAAAATGATAATGATTACAATAAAATGTATATTTTACAGTATAACAGTAGTACCAGGGTATGTTGCGTGGGGGAGGTCCAAGGGAATTTATTTTTGCGACCAGTTTCTCTGAGTTTTCAAACCTATGATTAAAATTTTGGTTTTGTCCAAGTCGTGTGTCATGTCCGTAATATATAAAGTAGCACATACACATACAGAGGTCTTAGTGAGGTCTGAAAGCATTCTGGGCCTAATTTAAGAGGTTCTAGATACTCACATACCATGGAGGGCCACATACATAGGGAGTGATCTCAAACTGCTGAGAAGATAATGAGACGGTTAATGTGTGTCTCTTCATTCATAAACATAATAAAAGAATCACTATGTTGAGGCTTTTTCATGAACTCACAGATCAAAGATTAACTTTCACACACTGCTGCTTTGTCATCACTGATGTCAGATAATCTGATAATCACACGTTAATGAAATGCATTATTCATAAAGCTCTCAATCATGTATAACTAATTGCATAATACAAATGATTGAATATTTGTGTAGGTGTTGAATTTAGATTGACAGTTAATTAAGTTTTGGTAAGATATTTTAAAATGTTCAAAATATTCATCAGTCAGTATTTTATCAGTTGTAGTGATCAAGTGTAGAATAGTTCCTATCATGTGTCTCCTGGGTTGCAGTGCTGCACTGCCACAAGGTGGAGCTGAAGTACCAACACTGCGGGTGTTACTTCAAATATACATTTTCATTTGTAGTCTCCATCCGGATGTTGACTTTAGTTTAGTTTAAAGTATTAGTAATCAACGAGAGTCTGTGTAAACTGATAAATATTTGGTCTCCTCCCCTTCAGGACTCCCTCCATCACAAGCGCTCTCTGCTCCTCAGTCAAACTGAAGACGCTCGGGAGCTGAAGGAGAACTTGGACCGGCGGCAGCGAGTGGTCCACAGCATCCTGTCCAGCTACCTTGCTGAACCGCAGCTCCAGGACTACCGCCTCTTTGTCAGCACCAAACCCTCCTTTGTGATTCGCCAGCGGCACCTCGACGACCTCATACGGCAGGTGGAGGAGCAGCTGACCCGACTGGCCGAAAGCCTACCACAGGAGCTGCTGGAGGCTCGCGGTTGGTCGAGAGCGTGTCCGTTCTCATCATCGAGCCCCGCCCCTTTATCTTCTCCTTTCCCGCCGCTGCTACCGCCCTCTGTGGCTCCAGGCCCCGCCCACTCAGTCAGGTCCACCACTGTGACGTCACTGTGATGTCACAGACAAGGCTGCTATTACAAGTGGCAGTGAATGCTGGGAAATGAAGGAGAGACTCCCTAAAAACTCACTCTGAGCTGGAGTGGTGCTCCCGATGAAGGAGCTTTACATGAAGGAAGGAACAGGCGCTCACTCTACTATGCAGACTTCACACATGAAGAAGAAACGCCTTTAATGTGCCTCGTTCACACCCGACTGTGCGTTACCGTTCACCTTCACATCAGCCACCACCCTGTGTGGACTAAACTGCTGCCAACATCTCCAACTGTCCTCTGAAAGGTGATTTTAAGGGTTGGAAGTTCATCGTCAAACGCTTCAAAGGACAATTCCAGCGTTGCAGGTAGTTGACAGGTGATTGGATGGGCCATCTGTCTGTCACTGTCTATCACGGGCAAACTGAAGCCAGTCGGGAGAATAGCGAAAACGTATTTTCCATGAAGAAAAGCCTTCAGTGCCGTTGTTTGCTCTTCTTTCAATGAAGAAATGCTCCACATATATCTGATGCTAGCAGCATCTATGCTAACCTTTAGCAGCTGTCATAGTAACGAACAGTGTCTTCTCGCTGCATCACTCCTAGCACCCACTGCCTGTAGCGGCCAGTACTTCCTCAAAGGACGCTGCTGATTGACCGGCCACAGACCCGTAGATTGAATCTTGGCAAGATGGATTCTCACGAGTCAGTAATCCTGGTGCTGACCGGTTAGACAGCAGCCTGAATTAATAGTAAGATGGTAGAAATTTGGTTTTAAGAGTCAACAAGCACACTGGAATTGTCCTTTAACAAACCTAATGGTGCCTTCAGGAACCTCAAACATTCAGACGTTCTTCCAGGAGCTCTATTTCTAGTGACGGGACGAAGTGAGCAGGTGTGTTATCTCCCAAAGACCCAACACTGTCATCTTTACAATAAAATATCATTTTGCCATCTTGTCAAACCCTTCAGAGATATTTGCAGCACCTGCTCATCTTTGATGCACATGTACAGTCAACTTACAATAACACCAAAATCGGAGGGACTCTGTTTTTATTCTACAGCTACAAAAAGAATCCAAACTCTGAGCTCATCAGAAACACCTGAAGGGTAGCTGTTGTGATCACTGTCACATGATACTGTAACACTACTACTGTCACTACTGTGTGTCCGGAGCTTGTAGCACTTTTTTAGCAGTTTGACTACTGTTTGCAGCAGAATTTACACTGAATAACGAACGTTGTTGCCTCTTTAAAAGTCGATGTGATGAAACATTTGATAATGGAAAAAGTTCAGATTCCAAAGAGTTTCACAGGATGTTTGCAGACGTCAGCTTCGTTTAATTTGGTCCAAAACTCTGGTGTGTTCTTTCAAAGTCTCAAGGTTTACTGGCGCCATAACTGCAACGATTATCTTAACTTTAGAAGGAAAGTTTGGATTTTTGTTAAATTAAGAAATAATCTGTTAGGTATTAAGTCCACAAAATGTCAGTAACAAATGCCACAATTTACCACACCAAAAGATATTTCATGTATAATGAAAGGATTGATCAATAATTTAAATAATTAATCAATCACTGAAACTGCTGATAAATGGCTAGTTGTTTGTTATGGTTAAGACCTTTGGTTTTGGATCATGTTTGCCCGTTTCCACAAACTGACATTATCATTTTATTTAATTTGGTCCTCTCTGTGGAAATCAATGCAATAAAACATCAATGTTTAAAGGATGAACGTTGAAACCGTCGTATAAAAGATAGACGTATACAAATGGTGCCACAATATCGAGGTCCAGCCAATTCATCCGGTTATCTCAATCGCAGGCAGAGAGAATCATGAAGTGAAACCCCCTTTCAGTGTAAGAACTACCTAAAATGACATGAAAAATATATTTGACATATACTTAGATTTTTGTTTGTTTGGCCCACCTGCTAACATGGAGACAACAGGCTTTATGACTTTCTTTTGGAGAGCTGTCATGTCGTCCATCTTTATAAATGTCGATAAAACTGCATATGATTGGCTTTTTCACCATCCTCTATATGAATTCATTATTTCTAGTCTAACAAAGGAGTTTTTGACTGAGAAACAGTCCCCGTTTAATACTGATTCCTCTGTATGACCTACAGAAATAAACAAAACCATCAGCCACAACATTGGCTGTTTCTATAAAGTCATTATTAATGCCTGCCACTGGGTGCGTTTTGGTCCGATTCCCATTCAAATCAATGAAACGAGGCAGTGAAACACTACCACTTTTGTCCACAGGGGCCGCCAGAATCAACGCAAAGTGAAAGTTCCTCGTTGGGGCTATAACGTTAACAGAAATTATTTGTTGGCGCAACCATGAAGTATTTATTTATGTTGGAATGAGAATGCTCGGACGAGGTGAGGCACATATGAAAAGAAAAAGCATTCAGTGAAGAAAAACCAACATTAGAATAATAAAATAGTTATAAATTAAAAATAAAATGTTTTATCACTCCTACTCTGTTAAGTCACAATCATGAAATATCACTTCTTATTATCACATTATGTCATTGTGTGAGATCAGTTATTCCGTCTGCCAGTGAAGGATCAGATTTCTATGTTTTTGAAAATATTGAACAGTTTTGCCTTGTAGCCGGTGCCATTGGGTCTCCCTTCAGTTCAAATCATCTGGGGACACCAAATGGCATCAGTCCTACACAATCAATAGTTATTGCTGAATTAACAGCCTCAGCATTGTGTGCAATCTAAGATACACATTAGGTTTTCTGATCAGTGGATGTTTTCACCTGTTCTCACTCTGAGCTGCTTCATTTTACACCCACAGTACGTTTCCTTTGACTTAGTTTCTAGAGCACCTTTTAAATATTCTCACTGTCATATTCTGCAAACATTACAGCACCCAGTCTGCCTTGTGTCCTCATCAATAACCCAGATTTTATTGTTGATTATTGTTTGTTCGTTGTTATTTGCAGAGAGGCACAACAGAATATCTCAGACGTTTTTTTTTGGTTCCTCGTTGAATAAAATTCAATGTTTATGAAAGAAGAACGATTAAATTACAGCTCCTGGTTTTTGCAAAATAAATGCATTTTGTAAATGACTTTGTGTCCTCTTCAAGTTGTCCCATAGACACACACACACGCACGTAGCACGCACACACACACAGTTCTATTATGACACCTTACATTAAATAAAACAAGCAATTGTGATGCCTATGTTGTGCTAGCATGTTGGGATGTGGGTTGAATAACACTCCAATGTTTTCAAAGGGGTCCTTTGACCTTTGACCTAAAGATATCTGAATGAAAATGGGTTCTATGGGTACCCATGAGTCTCCCCATTGCAGACACTTGCTAATCCCATGTAGTTTGGGGTAAAAACCATGCAGTTTTTTGCATGTGGTATAAGTTATTAGGGACCAAGCCAGTGTCAAACACTGTGAGGTCCCTCTGTATTCCTAGGAATTGTTATTAACTCCAGGGGTAACTGCATATTTGGAGGCCGCAACATGCTCGAATGATGATGGAAATCATTTTTTTTATAGTCATTTCTGGCGATTTTCGCCGTGGCATTGCATGCAGGGAATTTATCGGATCGACACAGCCGTCTAAAGACATTCACGATTAAAAGTTGTGCTATTTATGACATTCCGTTGAACAGCGTGGACGTGGCGTCCCGTGGCGTCCAATTTCGATCCTTCGCCATAAAAAAAAGAAAGTTGTCATAACTTCTGCGTACATGATCCGACTGCAACGAAACT